TAACACAGATTCAACAAAAATATTAAGCAGCACAAATGTTTTCTTGGGCAGTAATGGCTGCTGAAAATTCTGATTTGCAATCACAGAAATAAATTGAATTTTAAAACAACTGCAATAGAAACCAGTTAAATTGTAATAATATTTCACAATATTACTATTTTCACTGCATTTTTTATCATACAAATGGAGCCTGGGTGAACAAAAGAGATTTATTCAAAAATATAAATGCTAAATGCACTTAATTTATTGATACTTGTCATTTATCAATCAATTTTAATTCTTTGTTTCACATTAGACTGTGTGGACGTGAATGTGACTCCAGACAAACGTCAGATCCTTCTACAAGAGGAAAAACTCTTGCTGGCAATTCTGAAAAGCTCACTCATTGCTATGTTTGAGACTGGTGTCAATAAAATCAGTCTCAACCACATTACTCCAGCAATTACCAGTAAGTACATCAGACCTTTTAAGACATTTTATATGTTGTCTTGAAGTGTTATTACAGATGTTGATGTTGTTCTTCATTCAAGACTTGTGTAGACCAACCGAGACAAGTGCTGGTTCAGAAGATCGGGAAATAGGTTCTGTCTCTGAAGCACTTCCAGATGATGAACCCCCAAAGACTTCCATCAGTCTTGCTCGACTTAAAGAAGCATTTTCAAACCATCAGTTTCCTGGAATTGGGTCAAAGCAGTCTAGTCATAAAGCTGCCTGTTCTGGTTCCTCTCAGAAGAAGATGTTTTCCTTTGTGAGCTGCTCTAAAAAAATGACAGACATTATGAGGCCACCTTTAAAGTCCTCTCCAAGTTTCGCTGCCGTTTCTTCCATAAAAAAATCAACTGTTTGTCTAGCTAAATATAAAAGCACCTTTGATGGTGATGCTGAAGATTCTGAGGCTGCAAACCAAAATTCAGCTGAAGATGATCCAGAGATTTTACATGAAAACAATTCAGAGTCAGGTTTACACCCTAGTATATATGAAACTGATGTTAAAGCTGAGACTATCAATGAACCTGTAGATGAGAAGTTCTGTAGTTATAAACCTTTGGTGCCGGAGACAAAGTCAGAGCAACACCAGGACAGAATTTCCAGTCCTGAAGCTAAAAGAGCTCGACATGAAGCTGAACCTCTAGCACAAAACTGTTTGGTGGACTCTAAAAACAAGAATGCTTCTACGAAATTGGATTCACCTGTCAGCATACAGAAGAAAACAGTGCTTTTGCAGTTTTCTCTACAGGAACTTTCTAAAAGGATGCAGAGGCTGCAGGCTCAGAAGAAAGAGAACAATGATCAAGAGCCAAAATATAGACGGTTCAGGGCAAATATTAACCCTGGTGAAAACCAGAGTGCTGAGGACGAGCTTAAGAAAGAAATGAGGTTATACTGATCTTTTGATTGATCTCTTAAAGTACCAAAATCATCATCAAGTTTATATGCCATTGACAAAGCTTCAACTTTTTCTTACAGCAAAGATATGTTCAAGGATATGGAAATCATTGGTCAGTTCAACCTGGGTTTTATTATCACCAAGCTGAAATCTGACCTTTTCATAATTGACCAGCATGCCACAGACGAAAAGTACAATTTTGAGATGCTACAAAAGAATACGGTCTTAAAGGGACAGCGACTCATAGCGTAAGTCACACTTTGCAGAGACAAGTGAAATGGGAACATGTATTTATTTTAAAGCTAACTTCTTTTTTTCTTTCAATATGCAGTCCACAAAGTCTCCACTTCCCAGCTATCAGTGAAACTGTGCTCATGGAAAACCTTGAAATCTTCAGAAACAATGGTTTTGACTTCCTCATTGATGAGGATGGTGGGTTATCTACTGTAGTAGTGTTTCATATCTTATATGATACCTTTTCGTCCAGATTGATGTGGGATGGTGTTGTGTTTTTCAGCTCAGGTTATGGAGAGGGTGAAGCTGGTGTCTTTACCTACAAGCAAGAATTGGACCTTTGGCCCAAGTGACATTGAAGAACTCATCTTCATGCTTAGCGACAGTCCTGGAATCATGTGTCGACCTTCTCGTGTGAGGCAGATGTTTGCATCCAGGGCATGTCGCAAATCGGTGAGTGCCCTTGGTGTTTCTTCTTGTTAAGAATATTTTTTAGCCCTATTAAAACTTACCTGTCTGTTATTTATCAATTGTACCCAAGTAAATACCTGTAAAGTAGAACAGAGTCTGTGATTGAGCTGTTGCATGTTTGTGTTGTTGTCTTGTACAGTTTGTTAATGTGTGTCTGTTTACACAGGTGATGGTTGGCACTGCCCTGAACACCAGTGAAATGAAGAAACTTGTGCTTCACATGGGGGAAATTGAACAGCCCTGGAATTGTCCACATGGTAGACCCACCATGAGACACCTTGCTAATCTGGATATGGTTTCTTAGGACTAAAGCACCTGCTTTTTTGCCGCATTTGTTCTGAATTTCATAGTGCCTGTCAAACAATATTGTTTTAAGGATTTTATTATTTGTAGTTTTTATAATAAACTAACTTTTTCATTATGTGTTTGCAGCTTTATTATTGTAATTATTTAACTGTAATGTCACTGGGGTTTTTTTTTTGGTTATGGATAAATTATTTCTTTAAGGTGAGTAGATTTTAAAGGTCCAAATCCATAACCACCTTGTGCATGAGTTTTACAGAATATGAATAATTATTGAATAATTAAAGTTGTCATGGTTTACACACCCCTATGTCATTCCAAACCTGTATGGCTGTTTCTTTTGTGGAACATAAAAGACAACATTTGATAAATATATTTCTCAATATATATTATTATATATTGAGAAATATATATTATTATATATATATATAATATATTATTATATTGATAAATATACTTTTTTTTTCTTTTCTTTTTTCTCCTTACAGTGGAAGTCTGGTCCTCAAAAACAGTTTTGTTAAAGTATTTTTTTCTTCCACAGAAGAAGGTAATTGGAACAAAATAAAAAGTGTGTAAATAATAACATAAATAATGAATTTTCATTGTTCCTTTAAAGGGGTGGTTCACTGGGTTTTTTCTAGGCTTGATTGTGTTTCTAATCATCCCGCCCCTCACCTCAGCGGCATGTGCTTGGGTTGTATTGTAAACAGCGGCGTCTTTAATATCGCTTATCAGTTTGAGCCCGATTGAGAAGCAGAGGATATTATTGAAGAGGATTGCGCAGAACCTGTGCAAGCACAGCTTTTAATGGTAGGCCTATGTTTTTTGTTTATTGTAGTCTCATACTTTTTGATATGCTGTTATTTGTAAATGCTACTGCTTATGTTAGCTTTTAATTTACGGTTTTATCCTGATTAAAGCTTTAATACAGTATGGCAACTCCACGTGTGTCCA